GTGTGTGTGTGTGTGTGTGTGTGTGTGTATGCACACTCACACATGCTAGCATGTCCCATAACCATTTTCTCTGAGGAACAGATCGTGAACAGTGGGGGGGGAAGGGGGAGATTTCACTAATCCCATCAACAACAAGCGACCGTGAATGTGAAGAATTTTCCCCACACATGAACAGACCGCTAACAAAACTTCCTTCATATAGCAGAGCCTCTAGCATACAGCTGCAGAGCTTTGCTCTCCATGCCTCCTGATGGGAATCTCGAAGAATCCAGCATATAAACGGAAAGTCATCTTCTGGCATCTCACCTCACTGCTGGGGCTTGCGCACCACGCAGGTGGCACAGAGGGACGCTGCGTATGCTTGGTGACATTCGTGACACGCTCTGGGAAGCCACTGTACTCACACGGGTTAACCCTCTCAGCACCAGAATGGCTCAGAACTGAGCTTACTAGCAGGATTATAATAGGACCAGGGATTTAAAGGATATCTTACGTGCTCTGGACAAAACTGGTTAGCTGACTGCCAGTAAGTGCAAGGTGGGGCAGGGCCTTGTATGCTAATTATTATGAACATCTAGCATCAGCACTTAAAGGTGGGGCTGGACTAGCCTGCCTGCACCCCGAAGATGACACAGCAGGGGTCGCTAATATGTCCCTTGCAAACGTTCCGTTAATTAACGTCTGAGACCTATGTCCGCACTTGCGCAATTCTGCTGCAAAGCCCGACCCCCCACATTCAAAACAGGCTCGCAGCCAGGTTACGTAACAAAGTCTATCAGAGCGGACTGTGCGGTCGTGGGAGAGATCCGACCCCTGCCAAGGGCACCCCCTGCTGGGCAAGGAAAGAAGCAGGTTTACACAGGATGGCAATCATGAACACACATTCATGAGCAGGTCTGCACACGCTCTCTGTGTGCTCTCACTTTGCACGCATTCATCCACACATGCTTGTCTGCATACGCTCATCCGCACACATCTAGCCAAAGGGGAGGCGCTATGAACAGCAGGGGAAATACTGAAGTGGAGTGATGAAAAAAGACACGGACAGACCTTCAGACACCAGGAGAAAGAGGGTGAATTATCTTAGGATGATACAGCGGTTCATACAGACATTGTTACATACACAGTACAGCCAGATTCCAGGCTAATTGAAACAACAGAGAGGCAGTAACAGTTACACATAAAACGTTTTTTTTTCTTAAACAAAAGCAATAGTATCGGAAGGAAGGGTGTCAGGTTCCTGTCTTGGGTACACTGTTTTTCTAAAACTTATTTTAATTTATTTAATGAATGAACTTTTTTGCTGTTGACAGAGCTACACAGTCATGCAATTTGAATTGATGCAATTTTTCAAAGGTGTTAAATCTGTAATGAGGGACAGGGGCTGTGTTCTTAATGAGATAAGCTTCCATTATCTGATTCTTCGTGGAATTCAAACAAACCTGAATAAATCAGTATTGAACTTAATTTGGTTAATTATTTGTAGCCTTTTTAATTACTTAATTCGAATGAGGAAAGTCAATTATAAGAAAAACATTACTGTAGTACTATTCACAAAATAAATAAAAAAAACTCCCTTACCTTTAATTTCTTCATTATAAAGCATTTTCAGAAAACACAAAATAGGTTCTACTGAAGGACATTTTACGGAGCCTTAACTTTATTTAACTATGCAATTTGATCAATCCACAGCTCAATCAAAGTGAAAAGCTTCATTCATTAATTAGTTAAGAGCCTGGCTGGAAGCGAATCCGGTCTGTCCTGACACTCGTGAGCCTGACACCCCTGATCTATGGGCAAACATACACACACTATATTATCGCAGACAGAAGTATGCAACTCAAAACACCAAATCTGGATCGAAGACATTTTAGTTATTAAATTGGATTAATGATATTTTAATTACTAGACGCAACTGAAACAAAGCTGCTTTAATTCACATCAAGGGAGGTGTTTGCCTGCAGGGTTTGTCTTACAGACAACACATGCAGGTTCAATTGGCTCTCAGATTGAGACATCTCTGCAGGATGGAGTAGTGGGTGTATGGAAAGGTGGGCGGGTTATATTGAAAGGTGGGCGGGTCATATCGAAAGGTGGGCGGGTTATATCGAAAGGTGGGCGGGTCATATCAAAAGGTGGGCGGGTCATATCAAAAGGTGGGCATGTCGAAAGGTCATTTCTATTGGCCGAAAATAAACATTATTTCAGGAAGCCCAGACATATAGGTCAGGCAACGACTATTAACAGACATCTGTATTACTGCCATATGTCCAATAAGTGCAACTACATATGTGGTTCCACCCACTTGGTATCTATTCCTGTCAACACGCCCACCTTTCAACACACCCACAGACCTTTTTTACACACCTACAAAGCGTTCAACACGCCCACAAACATTTCAACACGCCTGCAAACCTTTCGACACACCCACAAACATTTCAACACGCCCATAAACCTTTTGACATGCCCACTACTCCAGCTTGCAGAAACCTATACTCGCTGAGATTAGCGGCGGGGGGACACAGGGCTTTCGTACCTTTCTCGCTCACTGATTCGCTCTCAATCTCCACGTCCTCGCAGCTGGTGTACTCCGGCGTGGTGGCCAGCTCCTCCTCCGAGCTGCTAAAGGACAGCTGCCGCATCTTGCCGCCCCGCTTGGCCTTGTGGGGCCGGGGCGGTGGCGGCCGCACTGACTCGGACTGGTCGGAACTCAGCGAGTCATTGCGGAGCATGCTCTCCATCTTCTCCCGCTTGCTCTTCCGCATGGCGGAGCCGGGGTCCAGGTGGTGGTGCTGTGGTGGGGGCCGGCGAGCGGGGCCCCCCTGCCCCCGCCGGCCCTCCCCCAGAACAGGGCTCCGGTGGGGTGTGGGCGGGCTGTGGCGCCCAGGCACAGGGGACGTCCTCTCCACCGAATACGAGCGCGTTCTCTCAGCCGGGTGCAGCCGGCCCGACGGCTCGTCCATTTCGGTGTAGGCCAGTGACACGTCGCTATGACGACGCTCGTGCCGTGCCCGTGACACCTCAGCATGCATGCGCATCTGCTCCTCGTACGGCTGCGGCTTTACCGGGTAGCGTGCCAGGTTGGGGTCACTACGGTAACGTGCCTGGTACTCTTCCTCCCGCTCGCCGTGTGGCCTGTCTACCTCCTCCTCCGGCGGGTAGTCCTGCCACCGTCCCCGCCGCTCCTGGTACTCCAAGCGGCCGTCCTCGGCATCCTCGTATGGCCACGAGCCCCGTGGTCCCCGGTGGGGGTCCCGGTCCCCGTAGTCAGACGGCGATCTGGGCATCCCGCCGTCCGCCGGGGCATACTGCGAGTGGTCCCCCCTCTCCTCCCTTTGGTCGTATTTTTGGTTTGAATCCCTGGATGCTGATGGGCTTCTTTTCCTGTCAATCAAAGAGAGGCAGCCAATCAGTACTCAGCTTGATTAAAAAAAAAAAGAGCCATTGGCAGCAACAGGAAAAAGCCAGAGTATAAGGACATATTCGTAATAATTTAAGATTTAAGATTCTTTCATGCAGGTAAAAGGAATTAAAGAAAACAAACTTTTTTCTCTGCGGAGGTTAGTAACAAGAAGTGGAACGAGAATAAAATGTTTCATTCTCTTTGATGTTCGGTTAAACTAGATTTTTAAATAAAATAATCATTTAATTAATTCTGGCGTCTTTCACAAAACTTCTACATGGAGAAATGTTTGGCTGTGTTTAGAGAGCTCAGGAGATCTGGATTTTACTGAAATCTGGGGTGAATGGGGAGAGCTACAGAAGCCTCCCTTCCTGTTCAGAAGAAGGACCGTGACACACGCTGTCGAAACCGGCCTACAGGGCGGCGACAGCAATGGAAAGGAACAGAAGAATGGCCTCACTACACAACACCAGCAGTGATAAATCCCACTGAAAATTAAAGGCCAGATCCCACCTACAAGAAAACGCCAAAGCTGCAGTTTACTTCTTGACTTCTTGGTACTATAGATTCGGTTGCTCTTCGTCGCAATGGAGACCATGGGTGAGTGGCCATCCCATCCTCCCCCATCCCTCAGCAACCCGGACACATCCAGAGCATGTATCCAGCGAGTCGCACCCAAGGGACTCGGAACTGCCTCTTCTCGTGTCTAGAGGCCTCCTTCCTCGCCCATCGGATTGGAGTCCGACCCGGACGCTTCCCATTCGGCGCCTGAAGTGGCTCCAGCAGCAGCAGAGTCTCCTAAGGTTCAACACTTTGTATTTCACTGCTGACATCTTTAACCTTCGGAGGCACAGTACCGGTCCTGGCTGATGTGGTGCCCTGAGCGAACTTCACCACCAGCGCCCCCTGTCTGAGGCAAAGTGAATGAGGCTGGCAAGTCAGCCCCCCCACTCAGATGGTGGCATCCTAGGCAGCCACCTATATCCCTTACAGGACCGACCGGCCCTGTCAGACCAATGGGGGCCGGACATTGGTTGAAACTAGGATAGTCGCTGGGAATTGTGGCAAGACTCAAGACCGAAATGGATCAATACGACACAACCAGACAATATATCACTAATCTGTAAAAGAGAATTTTGTCGTTTAACACAAAGATATAGAATAACGCAGAAGCCCACAGAACCGTCCTGCACATTTCACGGTGTACACAACATGGATATGGATCCTTCTGATGCCACAGTTAATATGTGTTAAGTACTACATATATCCGAATAATTGCACAAAGTATAAATGTCAGTCTAGTTGCATATATGCTTGTAGGGGTCAGCCTGTTTGTGTTTGAAAGATTCTGCGGGGTGTTTTCTCACGTGTCAGCAATGACAAATACCAGTCATAATGGACATGTTCTGACCGGGGGGGGGGAAGGTGGGTTTGAGTCACATCGGAAGTCCATGTCTAATTATGAGTGATGTCCCTAAGCTTGAACGCATTAGGAAAAACATCATTAATGAGTTTGCTTCACTACTCCGCAGATGAGGGGAGGTCCACCTAATTCGGCCTCTTTCACGCAGATCACCTGCCCCCCGGCCATGTCCACTCAATGCCCGCCTCATCTGAAGCATCAACGCAGAAGCCTAATTTCACTTCAGGCATGCAATACTCACAGAGCGCAGCACTCAAACTCCTCTCCTTGATATTGCTTCAAGTGATAACTGACATTACGGCAAATTTCACACACTATTAGTAAACCTAAACACAAATCTGTTTGTGCTTTTTTTGTGGGTCAATACTTAACTTACAGCCATTGTGTCGATGACTTCAGCAGAGACCGAACTAACTTTCAGCATCCTGGCCAGGTTATATCAGCCAGCTGGTGCCCGGGCATCTTATTCTGGTTTGTCTGGTTCCCAGTGGCTAACTGGGTTATGCTGCTGGTTCATATCTAGGCCCAGCTGACTTGCAATGCGCCTGAGAGAGTAAACCTGCACGGCCGCATATCAGAGCGGCCTGCACAACTTGGCCGGCCATGAACGCAAATCCAGAAATGACCCAAAGGGAAGAATGAAGAAAAACTAAAATAAAGGTATTCAAACATTCCAATAAAATTTATACAGTTCAAGTGTCGGTTACATAAATTTCTCAGCAAGGAAAAGAGTAGGACATGTGACACTTGGTCAAATGATTTATGTCATGATACTTGATCCTGAGTCAAAAGACGCAATAAAAATGACCGGCTTATAAATCAAAGGCCTGTTGAGTGTCAGTGCAGCACGGAGGAAGTGAACTTCCCCCAGGTTGGACAGAACAGAGCTCGTGGGGTGTACAAACGTGCACGATCCATCACAATCACAAACCCCGCACGGGCCGCTTGTGCGAATGCTGACCTGACACCCGTCATTTTCGGCCAACTGTGCCACGGGAGTAAAAAAAGGTAAGGAAATGTTTAAAAAGTGAAAACAAGTAATAGCGTTTTTTCACAAAAAAGTTTTTGAAGCGTCGCCTTAATTTTATACATGACAACCTTGCATAAATTTCCACGCGGCTCATTAATCGCGTACAGTGCTGTTCCTCTGCGTTCTCTGCTTCATGCCCCTTTCTATTGGCTAGCTCAGTGGGCTGTTAATAGGATTCCCTCCCTGCCCTCTGGGTAACTTCTCCAATTTCAACTTTGCCTCATATCCAAACACACACCCTCGGTACCACAAGTCCAGGGACTGCTGCAACACCCAGGACACAAGGCCCTTTCTGCTGCAGAAGTTTGAACTGAAAAATCAAGGCTCCTGTCCCTTTAAGAGAGATCATGCCCCACCCCTTCCTAGGCGTGGTTTATCAGAGCCAATGGAAAGGATGCAACACTAAGTGGTGCATACCAGGCCTTTTGAGCATCAATACAACCACAGTATTCCAGTTCCACCAGGGAAAAGTGCTTCACAATCAACCCACATGGTCTGGCACACAGTCAGAGGTTTGTTTTCAAGCAAGGCCACCTGATGTCGTAGTGTACCGCACCTGTTTTCAGGTGGAGCGACGAAACCACAGTATGTCAGTGAAAGCCGCCAATAAACTCGAGACAAATAATCGATGCCACTGGAAAACGACGTGAGGAAGGATCTTAATGGCCGAAAAAGAATGGAGAAAAGAGGAATCCCTGCGAGATCTGGCCCGATCTACAGTCAGATGCCACACAGCATCCACAGGGCGGCATCCTGACCCTAATAGGGGGCAAGAGGAGGGACAAGGGGCCTGACAGTGGTTAATGAGCTTCTTCGCCGTGAAACTCCCTTTGAACCACTGCAATCAGGGAGAGGCGAAGAGCATCAGGGGTGCCCCCCCTCCACGGTGCTTCCCCAGTGTTCGGAGCTCAGAGTGTTTTCCAGTCATTCCCGCCTCGACCATCCGGTGCATCCGCCGCACGTGTCTGGAGTGGAGGGCGTGTGGCAATGCATAATTCATGGATGGCCAGACATTAAGAAAGGAATCGATCAGAGGGAAAAAAAACAGCAAGACGAAGTGCAGCGGCGCCAGGGTGGGAGGTCAGGGGGAACCCGGGGAGGTGCGCAGTCCCACGGGCCGACGAGACATGTGACAGAGTCATGAGCCCGGTGTCTTCAGCACATCAGGGTGTCACACACCCACGAGACCTCCTCAATATCAGTCATCCAGCAAGGCTGTCACCTCATTCAGTACAAAACACTAGCAGACAGTCAGAACTTCTCACTGAAAACTCACTGCAGTCCTTCATCGAGGATATACCACTGTGCTTCAACACAAACTTCAAAAGGTCCTTCATTAATCCACGGCGGTCTTTCAGTAGAAATTTGTAAAGGTCCTTCACTAACCCACTGTGATCCTTCAATACAAACTCACAGAGGTCCTTCACCAACCCACCACAGTGCTTCAGTATAAACTCATCGAGATGCTTCACTAATCCACCATGGTCCTTCAGTACAAACTTCTAGAGGTCCTTCACTAACCCACTGTGGTACTTCAGTATAAATTCATAGAGATCTTTCACTTCACTAACCTACTGCAGTCTTTCAGTAGAAACTAAACTGGTAGAGGTCCTTCACTAACCCACTGTGGTACTTCAGTATAAATTCATAGAGATCTTTCACTTCACTAACCTACTGCAGTCTTTCAGTAGAAACTCACAGAGGTTCTTCACTAATCCACCACGATCCTTCAGTATAAACTGGTAGAGGTCCTTCACTAACCCTCCACAGTCCTTCAATAAAAACTTGTACCGGTCCTTCAGTAAAGACTCCTTGTAATGGTTGCTCCTTTACAGGGCCTCCAGTCTGGCTACCCCGTCAGTGCCTGACAAACCTTTGATGGACCATTAAAAAGACACTTTATGTGACCCGATGCCTGTCAGCTAAGGAGCGGCCCAGCCTGATGGAGCAGCAGCAGCTGAATTTTGCCAGTAGGGCTGAGGAAGACTTTGGCAAAGCGGGCGGTGGGGGACCTGGGGGTTGAGGGTCCAGGCTTTCACTGTGACGTTAGACCCAGAAGACCAGAGCTGAGAGCATGTGTGCTTTCTGGCCTTGCCTCCCTGTTTGCTATTGCCAGTATTTTCATCTCCCAGCAGATGTTACTGTCCTCCTGTCTTGGGGGGACTGGGGTAAGAGGTGAGAAAAAGAGGTTTTGGGCTCTATGGCACAATCCACTGACAGCCAATCTGCATTCATACCAGGAGTGACGACCCTTCCGTGTATACGGGTCAGATTCTCATCACAGCAGGGCAGGGGAACACCTCTGCGAGGGCACTGGGTCACTGCAACCTGCTCTCCAGTGACTGCTGTGCCTCCACTGTGAAACGGTTATCTACCCTTTTCCCCCCAAACACCAGAGCTATAGAGAACGGCCACGGGCAACAGTTGTGCAAAAAAAGTAATAGTTTTACGAAATATTCTTAATGTGGTGGAGTGTATAAAGGTGTATGTATGTGTGTGTGTATGTGTGTGTGTATGTGTGTGTCTGT